GGGATCTGACGGTCTGTTGGTACTGTGTTTCCCCGAAAATAAGACAATTCAACTCAGCATCCTTGTCTTTTCCAATGAGCCTTGTCTTCTCATAACATGCCCGAAACTAAGACAGGATCTCAGCATGATTGTCTTTTCCAATGAGCCTTGTCTTCTCATAACATGCCCGAAAATAAGACAGGATCTTATATTAATTTTTGCTCCAAAAAAGAGCATTAGGGCTTATTTTTTCACTTTATTTTTGGGGTCAGGCTTATATTACAAGCATGCTGAAAAAAATCATATTCTTATTTTCAGGTTACGTCTTGTTTTCGGGGAAACTGTACAGTAGGTTCAGTTTAGTCATTTTGGGGGTTTTTTTGCTTCTAGTGAAAGTTCAGGCGCGATTTAAAGCAGCAGCCACATGTTTGTCTTTCTGGCAGTCCATAATATGCTTTGTCCAACACTTTTCTTTAAATGAAATGATTTTATGCCCTGTCTCTGGTGTTTCCCTCGGGTGGGAAATTAGCCCATGGGTCTTCAGAGCTGACATGGTCACCTCAGATGCCAGAAGGAGCCGGAAACCTGCTAGGCACAGTCTTTTCATTCAGCCATTCACTAGAACGGGAAAGATTAAATCATCTTTTTCCTCACCGTTTTTAACCAGGCTGCCCTAACTCTGCAAAAAATATATATCTCGCTCTCCGCAGGTGGTTGCGAAAGCGAAGGATCCGTTCCAGGCGACTCTGACTCAGGGACCCCAAGCGATGGGTGCGTTCATGTGTTTCGTCTCCTCGTGGCCACAGAAAATGGGAAGAGAAGTTAGCCTGGCGGTCGGGGATGGGGAATAACAGAAAAAATCCCATGTTTGAAAACATGTTGGGCTTTGCTGGATGGGACAACTGGGGAGTTATGTATTCCAAAAAATAGTAAATTTTCTCGTTTCTTGGTGATCGGTAGTAGAACCACTAGGGGTGGGATTTTTCAGAATTCAAGGACTCCCAATCCCATAATTTGGTGGGAGCTCCCCCCCCCCGGCTGCATCCTAGGAACAGGAACCCTCAGAATTCTGATAAATGAACAAACAAGGTCTTAATTCAACACCAGAATCCTCAAATACTGTCCGTTCGGCTTTCCTCTGGGCTACTTAACCTCCGTTCTTCTCTCCACTTCTCATTATTTACAGAAGCTGCTCAGTGTTTTCCCCGAAAGGCCCTGACTGGGGCCTTTACCTACAAGATGGTAAGTAGGATCAACCCTTGGGGAAAAGATCCTTTTTTTAAGAGTACAAAGTTTTAAAAAATTCCCCAGTTACTTTGGCTGGATAGGGCTTTTAATGCCTGGGTGCTGTTCTTTAAAATGGTTATTTTTTGATGGATGGACGTTGAACACTGCATTTGAATCATTTTAATCAACACATTACATCGGGGTTTTTTAAAAAAAGAAAATGATTTGTTGTGTTTATATTTGCGCCTGGCTTCTATGGAAGGTGGGATGTAAATAAAGTACAGTAGCCCTCCCTCCATGGGGGATTGGTTCCAAGCCCTCCCCCTGTAGATACCAAAGGAAAAAACCCTCGGATAATCGTGCACCCCATACTTAAAAAGTTATCTGGATCCCTTTAGTGGCCAGTTCTGGTAATTACACCATGAAAATACATATTTCTGGTTTTTTTCTTTTTTTCCTTTTAATGTTTTGAGTGTTTTTAGACTGTGTTATAAAGCCAAGTCGGCTTTCTTAGGTTTTTTCTTTTAATGTTTTGAGTGTTTTTAGACCGTGTTATAAAGCCAAGTCGGCTTTCTTAGGTTCCCCCCCCATCCGCCCTCTTTCTGTTTGTCCGTTTTGGAAATTCACTCCTTCTGCGTGACCTTGTCTTCCCTCTCCAGAGCCCCTCTACCAAACGTATCGCCAGGCCGTCATCTCCAAAGAGATCAAGCGGCAAACGGTTCCTCGCAACAGCAGCTTCAGCAGCTCAGATTACGGAGCCCCTTCCCCGGGGGAAGGACCTTCTGGAGGACCTCGGGGTCCCATACCGCACAGCACGCTGTGGCAGGAGCTGCCGGCGGTGCGGGAAAGCAGCCTCCTGCAAAACATCAGTCCCGAGGAGAGGAAGATGCAAGAGGTGGGTTGGCCAAGTTTCAGGCAGAGAAGTTTTTCTTTCTTTTTCAACTGCCGTCTGATGACTTTTTGGGGGCAGGGGAGCAAGAGATGCCAGAACGTGAGCCTGGAGGAGTAGATACCGAGAGGCAGTCTGGTGCAGTGCTTAGAGCTTGACACGAGACAGCCAGGTTCACATCCCATTCAGGCTCGAAACTCACTGGTGACATTGGGCCAGCCGCTGTCTTTCAGCCTGAGCCTACCTTACAGGGTTGCTATGAGGACCAAGCGAGGATAAAAGAAAACTGTGAGTTTATTGGAAGAAAAATGGGATAGAATTTCAGGTAGCCAGCCAGCAAGCTTTCAGAAGCTAAGCAGGGCCCAGCCTGGTTAGTACAATGATGCCTCGGAAGACGATTGCCTCACGGGACGATTAATCTGCAAGACGCTTAGTTTTTGCGATTGCTGTTGCGCTTCACAAAATGATGTTTTCTATGAATGATTTTTGCAAGGTGAGGATTTTTCCCCATTGGAACGCATTAAATAGATTTCAATGCATTCCAATGGGGAACTGCGTTCCGCAAGACGATGTTTTCACAAGACAGCGTTTTTCGTGGAACAAATTAACATCGTCTTGCGAGGTACCACTGTATTTAGATAGGAGACAATCAGGAGATGCCAGGGATCTCCAAGGAGCACTATGGGGGGGGGGAATAAAAAAATCCAAAACTCCAGAGAACTGCTGCCAGTCCAAGTTAGAGATACTGATTTGGCTGAGCCAAAAGCCGAATTCACCACAAGGCTGTTTCCTGTTTCTTTTCCGTTCACTCCTCTTCCTGTGATTCTCGCTTCCTGTCTCCAGAGTCTTTTTGAGGTGGTGACTTCCGAAGCTTCCTACTTACGCTCCCTGACGCTTCTGATCGAGCATTTCATGGAGTCACGTGATCTGGCGGCCACAATCTTGCTGCGCGAGCACCGCATCCTCTTCTCCAACATCCGTAAAGTCAAGGAGGTCAGCGAAAGGTCAGCAGCATCCCCTGCTCTCTCTCATCTCCTTCCCTGGCCCCTTTTTTTGGCCCATTCCACCCGTTGCCCGTCCTGAAGAATTAAAAGGGAGCCAATCTGTCCTAAGCACAACTCTCAGCGTGCTCATCCTCATTTAGGGCTGATCTACCCATGCAGAAAAGAAGTCATATGCTTATTGGCACGGCTGTACAATATGGTTCTTCTGATCAAAGAATCATAGAATCATGGAATTGGAAGGGGCCCATAAGGGCATCGAGTCCAACCCCCTGCTCAATACAGGAATCCAAATCAAAACAGGTCTGACAGAGGGTCGTCCAATTTTCTCTTGAATGCTTCCAGTGTTGGAGCACTCATCACCTCTCAAAGTCATTGGTTCCATTGTCGTACTGCTCTAACAGTTGAGAAGCTTTTTCTGATACCCAACTGAAATCTGGCTTCCTGTAGCTTGAGCCCATTTTATTATGTGTCCTGCATTCTGGGAAGACTGAGAACAGATCCTGCCCCTCCTCTGTATGACCACCCTTCAAGTATTTGAAAAGTGCTATCCTATCTCTCCTCTGTCTTCTTTTCTCAAGGCTAAACATACTCAGTTCTTTCAGTCTCCCGTCATAGGGCTTGCTTTCCGATTATCCCTGTTGCCTTCCTCTGAACTTGTTCCCGTCATAGGGCTTGCTTTCCAATCGTCCCTGTTGCCTTCCTCTGAACTTGTTCCAGTGTGTTGGCATCCTTCTTCAAGGGCGGCGTCCAGAACTGGACACAGTACTCAAGACGAGGCCTAACCTGTACTGAATAGAGGAGGACTTGTGCCTCGTGGGATTTGGAGACTGCACTCCTGTTAATGCATTCTTAAAAGATAAACATGCGCAGTTCGACTACGGTCATGTAGATCAGCTCTTCTGATCATTGCAGGTCAAGCTCATGTTGAGTTTCAGGGATGTGCCATTCCTCAGGCAGAATTCTACAAGTTCCGGCCGGCAGTCCTATGCCTGCAGATAACACCTACATTTCACTTACCTGGAGAAGGGCCTAGCTTGAAGGGCTGCATGGCCTGGCTTCCTGTTTGGAAAAGGAAGCTGCTCTGGTCCTACCTGGGAGTCCTAGCGCTCCCCGGGTGGTATAGTCTCACTGCCCATTAGGATTCCCAAAGAACTTTATTGCCCAGGAAGTCCTTGGACTCTTGGCAGAAACACGCCAAAGAAGCCTGCAATTGAAGTAAATGGACTGTGGTCTATATCAGTGGTTCTTAACCTTGGGTTACTCAGGTGTTTTTGAACTGCAACTCCCAGAAACCCCAGCCAGCACAGCTGGTGGTGAAGGCTTCTGGGAGTTGCAGTCCAAAAACACCCGAGTAACCCAAGGTTAAGAACCACTGGTCTATATAGATTTGTGTTTCTAGGCGGCATCCAGAGAATTCTTGGAGAATTCTGTCCAACCCCCCCAAAAATGTACCATTTGGGAAGATCAGGTGTTAAGATCATGAGCCCAAGTTTCCTGACATTAGAGAGGAAAAAGAGACAACCTTGCATGTGAAACTCTAGCCCTCTCTCATTGTCCTTTCCATGATTTGTCCAGCTCATGGCTGTTCCTCTTGACAGATTTCTGCAAGACCTGGAAGGCCGCCTGGCTGAGAGCCTGCAGATCTCGGATGTCTGTGACATCGTTGAAGAACATGCCCAGCAAAGTTTCTCTGTCTACATTGACTATGTGCGCAACCAGCTGTACCAGGAGAAGACCTACAGCGCTCTCATGTGAGTGAAAGAGGGAGAAACTTACAGAAATTTGGGGGGTGGGGGGTGGGAATTGTGCTGGATTGACTGTTGATGGTGTTGGAAGGGAAGAAGCAGTTGGGTGATTTCTCCCAAATGATCCAGGTATAACTGAGAAGGAAAATCAGTAGGGTCAAATCGGCTTTGATGTGGATTCCTGCATTGAGCAGGAGTTGGAGTTGGACCCGATGGCTTTATTAGGCGTCTTCCAACTCCGTCATTCTATGATTCTACAAAAATTCAAATACAAGGGATTGTATTAGATCATTAAAATCTTAAAAGCAGAAAAGCTGAGCTGGAAGGGAAGGGTGAAGAAAGCTTTGCAGCCCCCATCTTAGAACTTTAAGTTACAGACCCTAAAGCTTATACCTCTATCCACAATGATTTTTTTTATCTCCTCTCTTTACATACACACAAACACATCAGTGTGATACTCAGCTTTATGATGAATCCTGTAACTTCCTGTTTTTTTGTGATTTTAGGCATCCTGTGAATTCATTCATTCATTCATTCATTCATTCATTCATTCATTCATTCATTCATTCATTCATTCATTCATTCATCTATTTACCAACCCTCCATCTAATGAAAACCACTACTCTGGGTGGTTTAAAGCAATGCACAAAACACAGATATATTCTAAAATCAACCAGCTATAACCGAAGCACTTTCACTAACCATTATTACCCCCTCTTGCTTTTTGATTTTGTATGAGGACCACACAGCTTTTTTCCTATTATTATTATTTTTGTCAGTGGCATGATCAGAAGGCTTAAAGCAGCTGTCCTGGAGGAGTGGTTATGATATTTGAATTTTTTTTTCTCTTAGAAGAAAAGATTCTTGTGAGAGAGGATCTGATAGAAATGGGGGGGGCAGGGGGAATCACATAGGAGGCAGAAAAAGCAGACGGGGGATTAGAATCTAGGATCGGAGTCATTCAAAGTTGATAAAGGAGGTGATTCTTCCCATACCAAATCATCAACCGTGGAATTTGATTTGCTTTCACGAGATGCCGCGGTGGCTGCCCATTTGAAAGGCTTGGAAACAGGATTAGAAAGTCATGCAGTTCTTTCTTGAAGCACACTTTCCAGAATAATGCCAGTCAGCTTCCTTGTCCAGAAGATTTTGGGAGTTGTATTCCCAACACCACAAAAAAGAAAAAAGAATAGGAAACATTTTTCATCTTGCTTAGCAAGCGGCCAACCAGATGCCTCTGGGAAGCTGTCAAACAAGGTGGAAGACCAAGAGGAAGAGAATGTTTAAAGCTTCAATTTTTTGTCCCATTAGTTTGACGAGTCATCTGAAATTTGTTGTCTCTTCCAATGACAAGCACATCAGAAATTTAATGTATTCGTGAAGGCTTTCACAGCCCGGATCTAATTGTTGTGGGTTTTTTGGGCTCTTTTTAAAGCTTCAGATTTTTGTCTCATTAGGTCAAGATCCCAGAAGAAGGCAGCTAGTCATTGGAAATTTGTTGTCTCTTCCAATGACTAACACATCAGAAATTTGTCGCATCCTAAATGCAGTTTAGGATGTCTTGGAAATAGACCTTGATGTTGGGAAAGGGGGAAGGCAAGAAGAGAAGGGGACAACAGAGGATGAGATGGTTGGACAGTGTCATCGAAGCGACCAACATGGATTTGACCCAACTCCGTGAGGCAGTGGAAGACAGGAGGGCCTGGCGTGCTCTGGTCCATGGGTCACAAAGAGTTGGGCACGACTTAACGACTAAACAACAACAAATGCTGTTTAGACTATCCCGTCCTCTCTGTTCCAGAATGCTAGCTTGGCTACGTCTGCTGCCTTCGATTTATGAAAGAACACCTGAAGAAGGCTAAAGATGAAAGATCAAATATTTAACATTAGTTGCTTTATTGTATTTTCTCCACACCTCATTGAGAGGGATCAGCTAGAGTGGTTCACAATAGTTCAAAATGGCTGTGCAGTAGTAGACGTAGTCGAAATGGGCGGGGTATAAATTTAATAAATAAATAAAATAAATTTTGTCACAGTTCCTGGCCGTCAAAAACAGAACGCTGTTGTCTTGATCGCCTCCTAAATGCAGTTTAGAATATCCCATCCTTTCTGTTCCAGAATGCAAGCTAGGCTACTTCTGTTGCCTTCGATTCGTGAAAGAACGCCTGAAGAAGGCTAAAGATGAAAGATCAAATATTTCTGTTAACATGAGTTGCTTTATTGTATTTTCTCCACACCTCATTGAGAGGGATCAGCGAGAGTGGTTCACAATAGTTCAAAATGACCGTGCAGTAGCCATTTTGTCACAGTTCCTGGCCGTCAAAAACAGAACGCTGTTGTCTTGATCCCGCCTGCCTCCTTACTCTCTCCTTCCAGGGAGAAGAACCCGCAGTTTGCCACAGTTGTGACCCGGCTTCAGGAACTGCCTTAGTTCCAGCGTCTTCCCTTTATGTCCTTCCTGCTCCTCCCTTTCCAGAGGATCACTCGCATCAAGATGCTCATAGAGGTAAGACTCTAGGTGTGTCTCCTCTTGTGATGATGATGATAATAATCATCTTAGAACTGCAGAGGTGGAAAGGACCCTATGGATCATCAAGTTTTGCCCTTGCGAGGGAATCGAACTCCTCTCTGGCTCTACAGCCAGATGGCTCAACGACTGAGCAACCCAACAGTTATTATTTCTGTCTTGCACCAAGTTCAAAAGTACTCGGCTCTTCTTGCTACTTTGGCTTCGAAACAACCCTGCGAGGTAGGTGAGAGGGAGAAAGAGGGAGTGACTGGTCTGAAGGTCATCCTGTGTGGTCGTGCGAGGTGGGACGAAAAAGGGAGTGGCTTTTATTGCTTGCCTTCAGCATCCGATGGATTTCACGCCATGGTTCCCAACCTTGGGTCCCCAGATGTTCTTGGACTAAAACTCCCAGAAGCCTTCACCACGAGCTGCGCTGGCCAGGATTTGTGGGAATTGGGGTCCCCAGAACATCTGGGTTGCCCAAGGTGTGGATTTAGACATTCACTGCCTCTGTACATGGAGGTTCTATTCTCAGCTGCAGTGTTCCAACAGGGACTAGAGCTGAAATCTCCCAATTTCCAGTTTAGCTTCCTAACCGCACCACGCCGCTACCTTTTCTGCACAGATGTCAGGCTACAGTGGGAAAACCTGTTTCTGTCTGGGAATGTCAACTTTTATCTCTGCGTTTCCTCAGAACATCCTTCGTCGAACTGAAGAAAACTCCTTGCGAGAGCAGAATGCTATGAAGGCATTGGCATCCGTTTCCAAGGTGAGGCTAACGGTTGATAGATGAAACTATGCAGAGTTTGGAAAACGTCTTTTCCCCCCTCAGTGTTACTTTTTCTAATGCTTACCTCAGAGGCTATTAAGGCAAAACAGACTTCTTGTGAAACAGCACGTCAAGGGGACCCCCCAAGATTTGCAGAAGTAATAATTAGCTTACTAGTTTCTCTCCCTCTGGTGTTGCTCTGGAAGCACTGTGCGGCTTGCCCAAGGACACTCAGGTGGCAGAGCATGTCACACCATCAGCTTCACCAGCTCCAGGTGAATTTCGGCTGGTCCTTTTCCTGGAAGGTATGGGGAGGGTCTCCAAACTCCTGGCCCAAATTCTGCAATCAAGTGCTCCTACCCACTGTAAAGTATCTCTGCCTCCCCAAAAATGTCTTTGGAGAAAATATAAATAAATGCAACACCCCTCCCAAAAGTTGGGACCTTCTCCAAGGAATAATTCCAGCGATGAACACCAAGCCATATTCAGCAGCCAGTCTGTGTGTGTTGAGGTGTAGAAAAGCGGGCAGAACAGAGCAGAGTATTCTGTAAAATGGGGTGGCCGGTTGGGAGTCACTGCAAAATTTTGCTGCAGTTCGGTGTTCCCTAAGGGTTCCTTTCCACTTTGAGGTGGGCAGGTCAGTAGCCTCACTGTGCCCCCCCCAGGTAAATTGACTCTCTATTCTCCTTCCTTTCCACTCCTGCCTGCCTAAGATAATAGAAGACTGCAACTCTGAAGTCGGACGCATGCGTCAAATGGAGGAGCTGATCCACATTGCCAGCAAGATCGAGTTCGACAAGCTGAAGGTCAGTACTCGGTTCAGCCGTATGCCTTTTTTGTGGCTCGCTCCCAGCCCACCAGGGCTAGGGATGTGTCAGTCAGGCTCACACTTACAGACACCTCCGTTTTGCTCACCTGGAGAAAGGCCTAGCAGGAAGGCTTCATGGCCTACCTCTGGCATAATTTCCCTGTTAGAAAAAAGAGGCTGTCCCAGGGCTTGCTGAAAGACTCCTAGAAGTCACCAAAGACATATTCCTTTTCCAACAAGAAGCTAGGCCTGTAGTGGAGATTGAAGCCTTTGAGCTAGGCCTTTCTCCAGGTGAGCGAAATTTAGTTATGAGTCTTATCTGGTTGAAGACCCAGAACAGAGAATTCTGGGAGTTGGAGTCCAAAAAAATCCACATCCCTAAACAGGGCTGCAATTCAGAGCTCTTAAGCGATGGCCACCCATACGTTGCTGTTCTCTTCTTGCCTTCCCCAATATCTGGTGCCCTCCAGATACGTTAGACTACAATACCAAAAATCCCTAGTCCGTTTTGAGAGCTACAGCTCAGCTCATCCGGAGGGCAGGCAGTAGATCCTTGGAGATACCTCAGTATATTACATCTGCGCGAGTTTATCTTCAAGACATTATTTTGTCATTTCCCTTCTTTACAATCATATCTATGCAGTAGATAACAGTTGAATGTGGAAAATAGTATGTTAGAAATAACATATTACCTGTAAATAGTTCTTTGGTAGCAGTGATATATGACAACGTTACCTTGAAAAAGTGACGTAACACACAGCAATGAAGTTCACGTCGCTGGTCTGAGGGAGCGGTTCATTGTTTGTGAATGACATTCAAAAATTACTTTCACATTCTAGGCCATCCCCATCATCTCCCAAAGCCGACAGCTGCTGAAGCAAGGGGAGCTGTTGGAAGTGGTGCATCGGGGTACCATCTTCGGAACGAAGCCGAAACTGGTACCTATCTACTTGTTCCTCTTCAATGACCTCCTGCTTATCACCCAACGCAAGAGGTGAGCTCAGGTTTGTTGGGCTTGAAAGAATTCCAGCCAACGAGCGATGGGGTGTATTTGGCCAGTCTCCACATTGCTTAATATCCCGATAGAAAAGCCTTTGTTGGCCAGGGACGGGGGAGGGGACACCCCGGCCTCCGTGGCAGGAAATTCCATAGCCTGGGAGTAGCCACCCAAAAAGTTCTTTCTTTCTCATATTCTTGCTAAGTGTGACTGTGAGGCAGCGGGACCCAGATATAAAGCTCTTTCCCTCCCAAGCCAGGTTGCCCCCTTTTCCCTCTTGTTTTTCTGTCACACCAAAGACCTCAATTTTCAGGTAGACTTTTAAGCAAACCTAGCATTCTCAGGAATGCTAGGTTTATTAAACTTTAGAGATTTTCAATAAAATATGGGATTTTAAAACTATTTGATGAATGTAGAGTTCTAATTGTTGTGAGCCACCTTGGGTCCCATCTCGGGAGAAAGGTGACCTCTACATTTTACACACACACACACAAACATTAGAGATCGGCACAAACTACGGGTTTGGCAGTTTGTGCTGGTTTGCTCTTTGGACGAACAGGTATTCGGTGGTTCCCCACCCTGCCTCTTCCAGCGAGGGCCCACTCAGAGGCAGTGCTCGGACTTCCCTGCCCCTCCTCCTCCTCCTCCTCCTCCTCCTCCTCCTCCTTATTCTCAGGTTCTTTCAGTCTCAAGAGACTATGGTAACTCTCCATACAGGAGATCTTTCGGAATCCGACTGTCAGCCATTCTCACGACATGCCCAAGCCAACATAGACGTCGCTGTTTCAGTCATGTATACATGCTAAAAATTCCAGCTCATTCTAGGACTCATCGATTTGGAACTTATATAAAATCATAATAAGAGCAGAGGAGAAAGGTGGCATATCAACATTACGAATATATGAATGAATAAAGAAAAAAAAAATACACAAATAAGATGGTCTGAATTCTGGCTTCTGTGTCCCAGTGGAAATTGCTACATCTTGCATGGCGTGAGTGCAGAAATGGCATGCGCCACCATCCGGTCTATGAATTCAGTCACAAGGCCGATGTTGGCGTTCTAGACAGGTGACGTTGAAATGGAAACAGATTCTGCTGGATTATGCATCCAGGCCTTGCCACTGCGTCCATTTTCTTTAGTGCCTCACCTGCCTCCTTCTGCCCTCTTTTTCTGCCTCCAGTTCAGAACGCTTTGTGGTGCTGGATTACGCCCACCGGTCGCTCGTTCAGGCCCAGAGCTGTGGGGAAACGGCTGCGAACCAGAGCGCCGAGAACAGCTTCTACTTGACGCTGATGGAGAACCACCAAGGGCGGAGCAGCGAACGCCTCTGCCGCGCCCCGACGCAGTGAGTGCTGATGGTGCCGGGAGGGGGAGGAAGCTGAGGAAACAGTATCTACTCATCCATTGCCAAGAACATGGAAAGAGCGGGTTGAGTGAGCCATACTCACTCACTAAGAACAAAGAGCTTGAAGCATTATATTTTTAGAGGAGGGCCCTGTTATACACGGGATCAGTATCCATGGATTCACTTACCTGTGGTCTGAAAATATAAAAAAAAAATCCTGGAAAAAATACCGTATTTTTCCATGTATAAGACTATACTTTTGTCTAAAATCTTTAGACTAAAAATTGAGGGTCATCTTATACACGGAAGTAAGCTGAGGAGAGAACCAAAACAAGTGGAGGGTCAAGCAGGAATCAAAGTGATCCTGCAGTGCTTTGATCCCTGCTTTCCCCTCCACTTGCTAAGCCCCTTAGATTTCTTAATTTTGGATTAGAAAAGTGGGGGGTCTTATACATGGGGCATCTTATACATGGAAAAATACGGTATATTTCTAAAGGTGCTGTTGCCAGAACTGGCCACTAGATAGTGCCAAAGACCATGCTATGTACACTGGTGCCTCGCTTAACGAGGATAATCCGTTCCAGCGAAATCGCTGTAGAGCAAAATCCTCATTAAGCGAAATAAAAAATCCCATTGAAATGCATTGAAAACTCATTTGCCCATTAAAACATTGTTTTGCGATCGCAAAAGCGATTGCAAAACAGTCATCGTACAGTGGTTTCATCTTTTAACGAGGTAATCGTTAAGCGAGGCACCACTGTATAGTGTTTACTGGAGAAATATATTTCCACAGTGTCAATAACCAGAACTGGCCACTAGAGGGAGCCAGAGACCATGCAATGGTATAATATTCACTATTAAAATACCGTTTTTTTCTGTAATCTGCATTTTTCAGTATCCACAGGTGTGGGAGCTTGGAAACTATTCCTTGTGGATATGGGGGTTCTATTGTAAATGTATTTCTAAAGATGCAGTTGCCAGAACTGGCCACTAGACAGCACCAAAGACCATGCTATGTATAGTGTTCACCAGAGAAATACCGTATTTTTTTCGTGTATAAGACTATATTTTTGTCTAAAATCTTTAAACTAAAAATTGAGTGTCATCTTATACACGGAAGTAAGCTGAGGAGAGAACCAAAACAAGTGGAGGGTCAAGCAGGAATCAAAGTGATCCTGCAGTGCTTTGATCCCTGCTTTCCCCTCCACTTGCTAAGCCCCTTAGATTTCTTAATTTTGGATTAGAAAAGTGGGGGGTCTTATACATGGGGCATCTTATACATGGAAAAATACGGTATATTTCTAAAGGTGCTGTTGCCAGAACTGGCCACTAGATAGTGCCAAAGACCATGCTATGTACACTGGTGCCTCGCTTAACGAGGATAATCCGTTCCAGCGAAATCGCTGTAGAGCAAAATCCTCATTAAGCGAAATAAAAAATCCCATTGAAATGCATTGAAAACTCATTTGCCCATTAAAACATTGTTTTGCGATCGCAAAAGCGATTGCAAAACAGTCATCGTACAGTGGTTTCATCTTTTAACGAGGTAATCGTTAAGCGAGGCACCACTGTATAGTGTTTACTGGAGAAATATATTTCCACAGTGTCAATAACCAGAACTGGCCACTAGAGGGAGCCAGAGACCATGCAATGGTATAATATTCACTATTAAAATACCGTTTTTTTCTGTAATCTGCATTTTTCAGTATCCACAGGTGTGGGAGCTTGGAAACTATTCCTTGTGGATATGGGGGTTCTATTGTATTTCCCCTGTTACAATTTTACGCCTCCTTTCCTCTAGTAGCCTTCAGTTATCATATAGGGCTCTAGTTGTCTTTACATTTATCCTCACAACTCCACGAGACAGGTCAGCCTGAGTGAACGAGACAGGTCCAGAGTCACCCAGCGACTTCCATAGTCCATTGGCCATCTGAACCCTGGTCTCCCAATTCCTTGTCCAGCCCTCCACCATACTGGATCGTTATAGAACTAAAGAGTGGAATGAGACCTCGGAGGTCATCCAGTCCACCCCCTGCCACAGCTGTGGCAGGAATTCAACCATCTTTCAGTAAGGGAAACCCCACTAGATCCTGGAATCCCTTCTTCCAGGGGGTTCTTTCCCCTAAGGTTGAGCTAAAATCTCTTCTCCTTCCCCTTTCCACCCATTCAGTCCTGCGCTCTAAAGCAGCAAAGGGACAGCTGGGTATGCTAAAACGCTCTCCCCCTCCCCGTTTTTTACTTCTATATTTCCCTGCAGCTCCGTACCCTCAGTTTGAGCAATCTGAGATTTTTTTTTCTTTTCTTGTCGAGTCTTTGCTTAGGGAAGGGCCCAAATCTAAAAGGAAGAAATGGCTGCCGGAGGAAAGTTTATAGCTCTTCTGTTTGCACACGGCAGCCTTGATCCAGATTGGGCCTACATGGGAATTTACTCTGGAGCAAGAAAACGACCAAGGCTCAGCGGGTGTTTTCCTGTGAACTGGCTTTGCCCAGGACAGGTCCAGAAGCAATAAATGTGTTTGTGTTGTTTTTTCACTGCAACTCTCCCCAAACCCACTGATGTGTATTGATGCCTTATGATGTTGTTTCCTTGATTCAGATCAGACATGCACCGCTGGATGGGGGCTTTCCCCTGCCCTGAACCCCAGTCCAACGGCAAGCAAGAAACCATCTATGAGGACTGGGGTGAGCCCTTTTTTATTTTCCCATCTTTCCCTGTCCTTTCAGATGAATCCACTGCTCCTATTCTATCTGTTTGGACTACAAATTCCAGAATCTCCTGTCTGCCCAAATCACCCAACCACTCGTTTTTCTCCTTCGATAGTAGGACCCCTGTATCCACGGCATCAGTATCCGCTGGTTCACTGATCCAAAATCTGAAAATATTAAAAATATTAAACAAGAAAATCTCAAAAATATAAATTTCTAACGAGGAAAGGGCCAGAACTGGCCTCTAGATGGAACCAGAGACTATGCTATGTATAGCGTTCACTATTGTAATCATGTTCACTATAATCTGCATTTTTCAGAATCTGTGCAGAGGGGGAGGCTCGGAAATGATCCCCATAGATATGGTGTTCAGAGTTTAGGCAGCTTAGAGATTCTGGGAGGGACAGTCCTAAAAAAGGAACTTTCCCCATTTGAACCTCTGTTCACAGATACATGCCCTGCGAGCCAAATCTGACTCACCCAGGTTAGTCTGGGAGTTAGTGGTCTTCTGACTCATTGAGAAAGCATCCACTATGGAAAAAGATGACCTCTGGATTAATCTCTCTCTGTCTCCTCCACAGATTGCCCCCAGGTTCAGTGCACCGAGGCCTACATGGCCACCCAGGCTGATGAACTAAGCCTCGAGCCGACGGATATTGTCAACGTGCTACGCAAAACCAACGAGGGTGAGTGTGGGGAGCGTTGCATGAACCAGAAGTCAAGTGAAGGGCGAGGTGTGTCAAAGGACTGAAGAATCACTGGCAGTTTATAATCTGTGATCTCTCTGTTTCTCCTTAAGTGTCAGATATTCAGGAATATTCTATTTCTTGAAGTCTGGAATATATATTTTTTGATGTCATGGCTACCAGCTAGTCAGAAAACTATCCTTGATCCTTTATAAGACACCCTACACCAGGGATAAATAACCCGCTATGCTCCAAATACCTCCCTGCTATTTGGGTAGTGCTCAAGGCGGCTTAAAGTCATCGTAAAAAAAAACCAATGAAATCAAATAAAAACAAATTCAATCATGGAATCATTAAAATAAAAATAAAAGTATGTGGGGGGGGGAAACTAGGGGAAAGCTCTAAAGACAAAATATTGTAACTCTTTAAAAGCAATGCAGAATGTGCTACTTATTTATTGCCCTATCGTGCTTAAAGCACTCCTTTCATTATTTAATTATTCAGGCTACACATTTCGCGCCCCCCCCCCCAGCAAGCTGAGTACTCAAGCTACTTATCTATTGCCCTATCGTGCTTAAAGCACTCTTTTCACTATTTAATTATTCAGGCTACACATTTCGTGCCCCCCCCCAGCAAGCTGAGTACTCAATCAACTTTGGAAGGATGGGAAGGCTGAGTGAACCTCGAGCTGCCTACCTAGGATTGAGCCTGCGTTGTAAGCAGAGGTTTGGCTGCAGTCCTGCAGTTTAGCCACTGCCTATTGCCCTATCGTGCTTAAAGCACTCTTTTCACTATTTAATTATTCAGGCTACACATTTCGTGCCCCCCCCCAGCAAGCTGAGTACTCAATCAACTTTGGAAGGATGGGAAGGCTGAGTGAACCTCGAGCTGCCTACCTAGGATTGAGCCTGCGTTGTAAGCAGAGGTTTGGCTGCAGTCCTGCAGTTTAGCCACTGCACCGCAAGGCTCCTGCAGGCTAACAAGTTGTTTGTTTCAGTGCAAGGTTTTATGGCTCAAAGTCCACTTTTGGGGGCACATATTAGGTGCTTTGCATTGATGCGTATTCTTTGGAAACTGAAAATCAAACATGAGCATAGGTATCCTTCTGTATATTTTTTGTGTATACTTAGAACTGCAGATTGGCAGGGATCCTATAAACCATCAAGTCCAGGTCCTGTCAAGGAGGCACCATGGGGAATCGAACTCCCAACCTCGCGCTCTGCAGCCAGATCCCTAAACCACTGAGTTTATTCTTCATGTGTACCCACAAACACACATAACAGTCACATTGTATAAGAGTGGACAGAAGTTGTAGTTCCCCAAAAGTAACTTTTCTAATCTCTAGCACATAGGAAGTGGTTTGATGGATCTTTTTTCTACCCCCCCCCAACGCAGGCTGGTATGAAGGTGTCCGCTTAGCTGACGGAAAGAAGGGCTGGTTCCCCTCGCGCTACGTGCAGGAAATCACGAATGAGCACGTGCGGCGGCGCAACCTCCGGGAGCGGTATCGTGTCCTGCAGGCCGCCCGCCAGCTGCAGTTGACGCGCACCAGCCACGGGAAAAGCAAGTACAGCTCTGCGTGA